CGGGCACTGGACAGTACCTTGCCTCCTACGCCCAGAGTGAGGGTGGCGATGGCATGTGATCTACCAGGTCATGAGAAGATGTGCGGAGAGCGATATCACTGGCAGCGAGGACGGACGCATCTGCAGGAACCCGACCGTTTTTCAGTCGGTTCGGGACCTTTTCTTCCCATCACGCGGCATGAGGGATGAAGGTGCATGAAGCACGCCGCCTGCTTGCCTGCAGTCGGGTAAAAAGGAAGAGAAAATCAATGTCCGCTGCAATCAAGACGCACACGCGCGCGAACGCCGACTTCAGACGAACACCTGCAGGTGAGCGGGCAAGCGGGACGAACGAGCAAGCAACAAACCCGACGTCCTGGGGGGAACCAGTTCGTGTGCCTCTTCTTCGCCCACAAAACATGACGAACCTCTGGGTCTAATGTCTTGGATCTTTGCAAATGGTGGAGCGGAAACTGCAGAAAAGCTGCAGCAGGGGCACAAAAAGTTGCAAGGTCGGGAATCGAGTGAGAGTCTTTCATCGAGATCAAGTTTGCTTCCCATCCGCCCCCCCCCCCCCCCCCCCCTCCTCTTCCCTCCCTCTCTCCCATCCAAAATCGACCTGGAGCATCATCATCGAATGCCGACAACCTCTAGCGACAGACGAAGTCCGCCAGCTAGCCCTCTCATTCCCCTCTTTTTCTCAACCCTCTCAGGAAAGCGGGGCAAGGTGGTTGGACCGCTGGTCGCGAGCAAGAGGCCGAGCACTCTTCAGGGCTCCAGGGCAGAGGACGATGGTTAGGTAGGGTTTGGGATAGGGGGTGACGTGATCTGTAGGCCGCCTCCGCGGGCAGCAAATAGGCAAGGGTCGCGGATGGGGAACGACCAGGGGTGGGGCCTATGAGTTCGGATGTCAGCAAAGCACACCAAGACGATTGGCCAGTCGTTTAGAGTGGATGACTTTCTCGGCAGGTCCTAACCTGGTCCCAGGAGGCCGGGGCGTGGGGTCCAACACTTGGAAGAGATCAAAGATCAGGGGAAAGAGGCACCGGGCCGAGCAGGGCAAATTTGGTTGGATGCGCAGGTGGGAATTCTTCCGAGTCCGATCTCGGCAAGGACAAGGGGTCGTCGCTGGCTCGCGTTCGTTGACTGGACTGTGTCCCCCGCACAGGAAGTAGAGCTCGCCGTGTCCCATATGTCAGCAGGTGTTACTGCCCCCAAACGGGTTCCTCCCAGAGCCTCATCCGAGCAGTCGCAGCGCCCTGGAGGACCTGCCCAAGTAGGTAAGGATGTAGGTAGGCAGCGCGTGCGACCCCGCTCCCCATCCTTCTCGACTGCAACACCAAGCCCCCATCACACATTACGTCGCAGCCCTCGACCGCCTGGTTATCCTCAGACTCTTGGAGCATCATCGCTATACCTGCACGTATGCAACATCCGCTTGCGAGGCGACTGCAACACAATGCGGCCCACCGACGTCTGACTCTCGGGAATCCTCCATCAATCTCATGATTGTGGATTTCCTCCTGTCAAGCTGCAGCAGCCGAACCCTCCAAGCGTGTGACATTCGGGGAGGGGCCATCCTGGGCCGGGAGGAATTCCGCTTCATGCCCTGAGGCAGTTCATAGTATCGTGCCAGCCAAGGGACCCGAAGATGCGAACACCGAACACCGATCACAACACCAGCCATACCCAAGTCACCCCCTGCGTTGGTGCTGTGGCTGGGGTGGTATTGATGCAACATGCATATGCCGAATGATTCTCATGGACCTTCACAAAGGGTTTGTCGAGTCGCGGGCATCCACACCTCGAGCCACACGATACGCGATACTCATCACCTGTGCCTCAGTTTGAGGCTTGCAACCTTACGTCGCACCCAGATGCCTCTGATGTGCTTTACGCCAGATGAGGTGGAGCGAGCCCTCCCCCTCTTCTCGTTCCCCTCCTCTCAGGATGGCCTGCCGCCGGGTCATGTCTCGTGGTAAGCTTCCTATCCTTTCTTGGTTGTTGGCGAAGTATGCGCAACCCTCCCTCAGCTAGTTGTGGCCTGTTTGCAGCGCAATCAAGAGCGTGTTGCGATTTGGTTGTGAGTGGATCGCGACCGCGCCGATCCATCACCAGCCTGTTGTTCCACTTGGAACAAGCGCGCGACAGTCGTCAAGCGTGCCACTTGCGCGCTCCGGGAGAACCCCCCCCCCTTACACTTGGCCGAACGTGAAACGCAGCTGCCTACCGTTGAAAGCATCAAGGGCCACAAAACCTCCACATATTCGGTACCTAGCGAAACTCGAGTACAAGACGCCGCTGGACAGGGTTCGACAGGTGGAAGGGGACAACCGCTCTGGCAGAAGGACATCCAACAAAAACGCAATGCAAACGCCTAAATAAAAGCCAATGCAGTTTATCTACAGCCATGTCATGTCCCGAACCCAATACAGATGCACGCCCGAATACTACTCTGTGCGTGGCGCCACGCAACCCGATAGCCTTGCGATATATGGATATCACTGAGGCTCGCAGAGGCTGGCCTAGCCATGGCCGTCGGATGGTACCTGTAATGCCGCCGATGGAGTGGAAGTGTCACGGTGTACTGTGTGCGCAATCGCGCTCAGGCTGCGGGACGCGGGTGCGCTTGGCATCTTTCTTCTCCCATCGACATGGATGTCCAGCTAAAAACCCCTCTCGCCAAAGCCCAACCTCCCGCCATTCTCGTCAGTCAGGGCACTCGCATGCATCTGCAGCAAGACAAGGGGACGCTGCACGCCGTATCCCACCGCTACTTGTGCCCCCCTCTTAGCGATCACAGGCCTAGACTACGCTAGCCGTTCAAGAGCAGCTCGCGTCCATGACTTGGGTTGTTGACACGATGATACCCTTTCGAGCGTGTCATGAACCTGAAAGGCGGGGTAGTACGATAACGCAACAATTGCCGGAACGACAAATACGCAGATACAGGAGGACGAGAAATCAGGTCACTTGGCTATAACACACCCCGTTAAACAGTCACCTCGTCCGGGGACCGGGGCCGAGTCAATTGATCATCACACGAAGCGAAGAAGCCCACTAATAAACACAGCAAGCCAATAGTAGCAAGGCCAAGCGTGCAGGTGATTCCGATGCTGTGCAAGTGTTCTGTGCGCTGCAGGCGACGACAACGCCAACAGCCGGAGCGCCTTGATTCAGGACCGGAATCTTTGATCAACAGCTACCTCTCCGGACAAGAACAAGTACAGCGCGATGAATGCTCCTAGCCTGCATAAGCCCGCATGGCCGCCCGTCGCAACATGACGCTCCCCAAGGCATGACAACCGCCACAGTGACGGAAGGGGACGGAAGGAAAGCCTGTCGAGACCCAAAGGACTAGAGGCGTCATGCTGGACCGTCACAATTACCAACTTGTCGGATAAGACGCATGACGCGTTCGCCAGGCCGTTGACCAGCAGAATCTTGAGGGCACTCACTTGGCAGGCGACAGTGGATAGACATCGTTTCCAGCTACGGCTGCCGGCCTGAAATTCGTCACATCAACATCCGATTGTCAATGCGCGGGCCCAGGGTTCGGATCCTTGAGACCATATTCAAGCCCCAGCGCGGCTACGTTTTAGTAGAGATGGTGATGGAGCTCCGCATCATATACTCCCAACGATACCGTTGTGGTCTCACGCGGATCACGGGAGGTGGGCGTTGCGGAATCAGGGCAGCGGGTGTTGCTCTTGAATCACAGAACCATTCCGTCAACCAGCAGCATCCCATGTTGGTCAATCGAGCCGTGACCCGCCTGTCCAGCAACATGCTGCTGACCGGATCAAGTAGAGCTACATGTCATTCATCGCGTAGCAAGAACATTATGCCCAATCTCCATGCGTCCCCGTAGGATGCACTCATTTCACGCCGAGCCAACCCAGCTCAGTATCATTGTAGCTGTATATATTTGCCCATATCCTCTTTCGGCAAGTATGTTCGACTTGGGCCTACAGGTGGCATCGAGTCAAGAGCGCACCAGCTTTCAAAGCAACAACACGACAAGAGAACCGCAAGGAATCGAGCTTCTCCTACGACGACCATCGAAGTAAAGATGGCTGAAGCTCTCCTTCGACAGGGTCACCTCCAGTCAAGTCAGCACTCTAACAATGCATTACGTGACCCCAATAACACGGCTATTCTGATACACTCGTAAATCTCTGCTCGGCGAAGGAGGGATATGGGGCTGTTCATCATGACCACAAGCCCGATCTGTTGTGATAGGGTCGCATCGTTTTCCCTCTCTTGGGAAACGACAGCTGCCAGACGACTCCTTGCAGCTAATTCCATCGCAGATCCAGTGTAGGCCAATATGTACGCCCTGTCACTCCTCTCGCCATCAGAATGACAGCTGAACACAGATAGCGTCTGGTCTAGACTCGTCATCGATCTAGGTTGGCGGCCTGACCGGTTGCCGTGACCAGGCTTGCCATAGTGTACGCGCTCAGATCGCGGTGGCCCACAGCGTCCATAGGGAGCAGAAAGACCGACCATGTGTTGAATCCGGGATCTGCCAGTATTGGCCGAAATTGGGAGTAATGCATAGTAAAAGAGCAGGCGTGCCAGCAGCAAAAGTCAGGGACACTCGACCGGCACTCTCTGCCACCAGTGCCACACATTCGACGCCGGAAGACTTTCGAAGTACTGGTTGGACAGCGTAAACTTCGGGATTCGGAAACAATCACTCGCGAACCTTTGCGTTGGTTGGGCTGCGATCTGTCTACTGAACTTGAGGATTCGCGCGCACTAGCAGTAGACTTTGCCAAGCTTAGCTACCAAGACGAGTGGCGAACGCATCGAGGACCGGGCCGCTTCGAGAGTCAGGTATGCATCGAGCCCGGAGGAAAAAGAAAGGGTTCACTGCCAGGAGATTTTCTCCACACAAACGGGGCCCTGAACAGGTCTGGACGTGATGACCTGAGTTGCCGTTCCGACTCGGCCGAATACATCGTCGAAACCTCATCGGCTGCCATACGGAGAAGAAAATCTTAGGATCGAGCCACTCAGTTGTAGCTCCTCTCCAAGATCATGGCGGCTGCAATGTTGTGTTCAATGACGCTAGCTGGCTCTGTATTGGTGGGTCAGTCATGTGAACCATCCAAGGAGAAGTCCGACAGGATATGATTATCACCGAAGTCAGAGTGCGGAATGAGGACATGGCGGATGATGAGGCTTGGGCCATTGCGATCCAACTGGTCAGTGTCAGAGTCAGTCCCAATGTGGGAATAAACAGAACCGGGCAGCTATGTCTGTGTGTCGAACGAAAGACAGTGCGCTGCAGGAAATATGTCTCAGGCGAGAATCGCAAAGACACGCTTGTCTCTTTTTGACAACGTGTCTGAGAACGCATGCCAAGTCGCGCCGCGCTCCTTTCATTTCCTCACGGGCTGGATCAGCGCCGCCGCCGCCATTCACGAAAAGCCGTCGCGAGACGATATCGAACTATCTCCCAATCCTCACAAGCGCAGCCTTACTTGCCCAGCACTGTCTAGCTGTAGCCGTACCCACCACGAACCATCTCACATGTTCGCTCCAGTCGGACAAACCAAACGGCTTGCTGTTGCCAGTACTGAATTCCGGCCTATCAAGGAAGTCAATACGCAGGATACGGAAATTTTCCGATATGATATTATGGCATGATATTGGATATTCATGCGGCTGTTAGGCTGTGGGTGACCACCCAGCTTGATAATCCCATGTCAAACGAGAGACTCCAGCCAATACGATGCACATCAGGGCTACCAGTTCTTAAGGCCTGCGTATCAAAACCACCCCCCTGGTTCGTTACCATTGTCAATGATCAACCACCAGCATAATAATATCGATCTAGCAGATTACTTCGGCGATCCCCTTTCCCTCATAAGCCCTCACAGGGCGGTCACATATGGGTGGAGGCATGTCCTGGTAGAAGTGACAAATACTCTGGCTCACTCGATAGGCTATCCAGGTACCAGTGGCCACGTTTGCCTAGCCACGAATTTGTATGATTCTTAGCTTCAAATTCTTCGATAACTGCCTGTCTGCTGTTCGCAATGTATCACCCTTCCCGGCTGGCTTTCCCACATGGGAGGTAGGTGAACAAAGGCGCGCTGAATATCAGCCATATTTGCAGCTAAGGATGGCGTTCGGAGCCGGCGCCCTCTAGCGACAATCCAAGTCCAGGGGGCTCAAGGCCTAAGAAGATGGGCAAATGACTTGACAGGTTTGTCGAGCACCATCCCTGAAATCGAGTCAGGTGCAGGATGACTTTGGCGCACCACAAGTGTCGCCTAGTTGCGTAACTTGACACTCTCTGCACCTCACCGGGGCTCGAAGATACTTTCAGGAAGCATCCGATTGCGCCCCACGGTTGCTTCATCACAAGTGATCTGCGTGACATCGTCAGGGAGGTCACATTTTGGTTGGAGGAGCGTTTCAGCAACAACGGCAATGAAGAGACGGGCTAGGCGGGCTATCCTGGATAGGAGCGGGGTTGTTGTCGCTCGGCAGTTCCATACATCCGTCATCAGCCAAGCAAGTCTGAACTTGCCCGTGATGTGCTCGCACTCTGTTGCGTCTTTGCTTATTGCACTCAAGGCGTGCTGACAATACACAGCATACCATACTGGAATGATTCTCAGGTTGACGACCGATCGATGTTACTGATGGTCAGGTTTGGCAGATGGTGGGTGCGCAACCACGTCTCCGCGCAAACCACGTGGTCGGAAGGCTTCCGGATGTGACCCTGGGCCCCTTGAGCAGCACATCTCAACGCTGAACGGCTGGTGTCACAGCACAGGCCCCCCTACGGCCAAGCTGCGGTTCCCTCGCCTCCCGCTCGCGGTCTGGGCTAAGTGTTCTAGCGACAAGAATTGTCGGGCGGGGGCATTGGACACGAAACAAGTCGAACAGTCTGAGGCCGCTAATGGAGTCCTCCAGGAGCCAATTGCCCATCCAGACGGGGAGGACGGGCTTGGAGATAGTTGAGACATCCTGGGGATCAGGTACTCTTCCTCTGTGTGGTTCTCGGAGACTATAGCCCTAGCCAAGCCAGCCGGCTTCCGGTGGCGATGGACGACAGCCGCTCCGCCTGACTACAGCACCAGCTTCTGTTATCCAGGACAGCTTGTCATCCTCGGGTGCGTTTTGCTGTGTGCAATGCAGTATCAGGGCCAGCCATTTCAGGAACACTTTGCGCACGGATCGCCGCTTACTGCGGATCAGCCTTTAGCCCGTCGATCGTAGTGGAATGTTCCGATTCATGTCTACGGCGCGGCATCATCGAATTGTGTTGAAGACGGAAGACATCCGCTGGACCACGCCGCTTCACGAAAATATTCCTAGGCCCTACCTAGGGAAGGGAGCCCGTAGAAATTCCGACGTCAGTAAATCCTCAAAGCCGGGCCAAATATGATCACCTAGTGGCTCTGGGACCTGTCAGTCCGGTCCTTTTCAAGCTGCGCGCGGTATCCCGCAAGTCTCCGCCATGGAGAAATACAATGAGCCCTGGGTCCCTATCGGACTTATTTCATGGAGGCGCTCCCACAAACGACGACAAAGGCCAAGTGAGGTTAGAGCCCCGGTAGCTCCCAAGCTAGACGCTCTCGGCGGAGCTTGTGAAGGGGAAGATGGCTTCAAGACGCAAGCCACTGCAAATCAGCGGCCTGGACCAGGAATCGGGGTTTTTCGGTGCAGGAGGCGGTCTCATTTCCCAGCGTCATGTTCACGAAGTGCCGGATCATGTCACTAGAGCACCAGGAAGAGGCAAGTGAAGTCGCAGAACCCGCGGTAGTAGCGTTGCCACCACCGCCAAACACCAAAGCCAGTCCCTGGCCCTGCCGCGCTATCACGCTCGCCGGCGCGCTAACTAGCAGATATGCACCAAGGACAGCTGAACTGGGCCTCATCCACGAACCGGCCGCCGCTAGGCCAGTGTTTGAGCAACGGAGCCACGTGCCTTCTTCAAACACGTGCACTGTATACGGCGGGCTGAGCTACTCGTACACATCATGGGCTCTCCAACACTCATTTCCCCCGACACGAAACGCGCGGGCCAAGTGAGACAAACGAACCACCCACTGGTGGCGGCAGTGGAGGATAACTGATTAGGCAAAGGCAACGCCCATCTCGCCGGGTCGGGAACACGCTATGGACGCCATGATTGCCAGCCGGCAGGCCGCTTGACTTGCAATTGCCCCAGCCTCTACTCGACTGGATGTAGATCAGGACCACTCTGTGCAGGGACGTGTTCCGTTTCGGCCGAGTCGCTCATTCGAAGTTCGGGACTGTAGCAAGCTGGTAGCTATCGTTTGGGGCGCATGCTGAGCTGGACGACCCAAATGAACTTGCGGCGAGAGGTGTTTTCCGTCACATGTGTCCACGTCTCCTCACGTCTAGGCCTCCCCCCAAAGGCTTTGAACGACAGCCCAAGGTTTCCGTAGTGGACTCATGACAAGGTGGGGGGCGTGAGGACAGCACTGGGAATGGCCAAGTTCGTCCACGTCTCCTACAGCGCGCCAGGCTACGATGTTGCTAGTGTGTCATGACGATGTTGAGGCCGGAAGTGACGGAGGCCGCCCTATACTGGGCGGTGCCACGCGGGGACAATCTGAAGCAGTTGTGAGGGTGTTGGCCTGGACCTGGTTTGACTTGAATCATATTCTGCCCAAATGACTCGGATGGGCCCGTCTGGAGAATGGTGGGAAACCGTGGGCGGAAGGGGAGATCATTGCATGATGAGCCGCCAAGTGGTCCTGTGGGGGAGGGCTTGACGATCACCTCCTGCGCTAAAAAGCAGTGTTGACTCAAAAGGGAAGAAAGGCGTCTCGTGACGCTAGAGCCCTGGAAGCCATGACACACAGACCGACGAGCTAACTCAGCGTCAACCGCGATAAGCGGCAACGTTTGATATGAGAGGCACGGAGCGTACGACCGGTCTCTCATACGGCCTCGGAGACGGGCCGGTAAGCACATCGGGGCGTCCAAGCCCCGATGTTGTCGGGATTCGCACGTAAGCTCCGAGCATCGATGTTGATATCAACCATTTCGCTGGGTGCACTGGGCGCAAGAACTGACTTGCTTCGGCCGACTCTCTGCCTATTCGGAGTCACAGCGTCTGCCTCACTGCACATACCCTAATGGGTACCCTTCCCACAACGGACGATGACCCTGGCACAACGAAAAGTGACGATGGCTACACCTGCTTGGTGATTGCTTCATGATGGCTGATTGAACAGGCCTCCTTAGCCGCGTGACGGGCTTTGCAGGGTTGCAGACGACTGGTCGACTTGGAGATGCCAGACCGTGCCTCAGATACAGACAGGTATGTGAGATGGGGTTGTTCCGAGATTACGCGATGGCCGGGGTCCAATATTACGTGTTGCAGGTATGGCACCATGATCAGGAAGAGGGGAAAAAGAAACGTATTCGCATAAGGTGGATTCCAAATGGTTTGGCGAGACGCTTGTCTTGGGCGCCGATAGGGTTGGATTCTGCCGAAACCGACGGTATCGTCTCGTCATTGGGAGGGCTCCTCCGCCTGGGAGTGTCACGATGATGCTCGTGATGGCGAGAGTTCATGATGGCCCGTCAGCCGAATGCTGCCACACTGAATAGCGCGAGCATATCACAGTATGATTTCGACGGCCTTTGGAAACGACTTGTTCCGGGTCCCCGGACTCAGGGCTGGCCACCAGCGATCGGAGTCCTACGCTGTGAAAGGTCGATTCGAGCGCAAGATCGGAGATCTGGCACACACACACACACGTACACACCCCTCCATTCTCACTGCCGCTCACCACCATCTCTCAGAAAAGTCTCCGCACGACCGGGTTATCACGGCTCTCTTGCCACGACCGGGGCGGCGAAAGGATGCGGGCGCAGCTCATGCGAGATCGCAAGCTCTGCAGAGTTGGGCAGTACGGTGAGGATGTTAATACCTCAACGGGGCGTCAACGTTGACGCGACGATGGTGACCCTATGCAGCTTATCGGCACAAGCAAGCAACCGGCAGGTTCTTGAAAGAGATACCCTTTTGTTTTTTCAGTCAACTTGTCTGCCAGGCTCCTGCCGACTGCAGATGCGACGCAGGCGAGACTGGGTGAAGACAGGGTCAAGTATAGGTGAGATGCAGCAAGCGTATTGAGGCGATGAGTCGACCGAGTTGACAAGTGACAGCGAAGGGGCCAAGTCTGGTCTGCTCTCGCTTTTGGAGAGAAAAAAAGCAACGGCAACGGGGGCTGCGATTGGAGCGTCAGCATGGGCACCGGTCTCGCGTCTCGATTGCAGGGGTTCTCATGGAGAATAACTGGGCTGCTCAACTGCGGGCTCTGCTCTCAGAGGGTACGTGACTGTTGGACCAGATGGACGGATGATTTGTGAGTGATGCTTGCAACGAGGCTTTTCCTCCGACCATCGACCCAATCTCGAGCTG